TCAGACTTGCATAACTGCAAAAAGAAGCACAGTCAACAAAAAAAGTAATACAAAATGGCAAAGAACTGCATAAGGAAAGAAAAAGAAACATAATTGCAGATATGATATAAGAGAGCCAAAAGCAAGGTTTTAAAATAAAAACAGAGAGATGGAAAAAAATAACAAAAAGAAGAAAAGAGGCAATCACAATAGAGAAGATGCTGGATAAACAAATTTACAAACAACAAAAGAAAAACATGAGAAAATGAAAAGTGATATACATAAAGCAAGTAATAAAGAATAATAATATAAAGTTAATGTATTAGGAAAAAATCAATTCAGAACACAGTAACAAAAGGAAAAAATTCAAATGCTACAATATAATAGAGAAAAACTGGAGTAAGATTTGTAGTGAAATAACAAAAAAGATAAATCAAAAAAGTCAATAGAGCAGATATAAAAAGAACAAGATGAATTGTGTTTGGACAGGAATAGAAAGTAATGGTAGAAAGAAAAAAGCGAAAAATTGATATTGAGTTGGATAGAATATTATATTATAAAGAATATAAGGAGACCTAAGAACTAAAAGAGTATAAAGAATGTAACTTAAATGAATTCAACAAAGAAAAGAAATGTCAATTTAATAAGAAAATAGCAGAAACATAATGATCAGTAGTGAAAAAAGTCAAAATAAAAGAGAATGATAACATCTTATATATCAAGAAAGAACATAAGAACTATAGGAAGATCTAAAAATGAGAGCAGTACATGAAAACAAAAAGAAAAGGAAAAGAATAAAGAAGATTTAAAACAGGAAAATATATATAAATGCAATATGAAACTAAAAAATAAAAATAGAAACAGGAGTATGAAAGTATATGGAAAATAGCAAAGAAGCAAAAAATAAAATATGGGAGAATATAGTACAAAGTGCAACATAAGCAAAGTTGGAAACAATAATAGCAAGCATAAGTGAAATCAAAGAAGAAGAAGAAATAAAAATAATAATAAATCTAAAACTAGCAGAACAATATATAAATAAAAGTAAAAGAATTAGAAGAGAACTATAAAGACAGAATAAAAAAAGAGCAATACTAGCAAAGTTAAGCATAACAGTAAAGAAAAAAGAGAAGGTGAACTTAAAGACAAAATGGATAAATAAGTATAATCAAGACCAAATATTTAAAGAGGTAGATAATGAAACAAAAAAGCAGTAAAAAAAAGCAGAAATAAAAAATAAAAAAGAGATTACCAGTAAAGACAGAAAAATAATATGAGGTAAGAAAATGCAAAATGATGGTTGGAAGAGAATATGGAAAATGGGTAACAAAATTAGAAATTTTCTAGTATAAATAAACTTGAAAGAAACAAGCAAATATAAAACTATATAACTAAATAACAAATAAATTGGAAAGTGACATGTGAACAATATATACATATGGCATAAATTATTTTGCTGTTGACTCAATTCCCAAAATCTTCAAAAATAATTGCATTATAACTCAATTATTTATATGTTTTAATAGTGACTTACTTAATTGCATCAAATAATTGCATCAATTGCATCAAATAATTGCATCAATTGCATCAAGGATCTACAAATTTTAGCAACATGTATATAACAAGCTGCACCTGAATGGTCTATAGTACCTGTGGATAATTCTAGTTAATATAAAATAATATAGTCCAATCTTTATATAAGTGCATGTAAAAAACTGACTATATTAATAAACTAGAGTAAAGTCTTATTTATCAAAAAAATAAAATAAAATAAATACAATCAAAGTAAAAATACAACCTAGATTATTAAATTAACACAAATGTTAAGAAGAATAAGTTTATATATTAAAAGTAGAAAATATAATTCAAATCAATTAGAACCCTTAGTAAGAATTTATTTAACAAATAATAAGAAAAATAAGTCCAATGTATTAATTATAATTAAGAATATTACTTAATCAAATAAATATCTTTGATAAGAATTTGCTTAATAAATATTATAAAGAATAAATTTAATTACTAAAGTAAAAAATATAATTCAGATCAATTTGAATACCTTTAATAAGATTTATTTAACAAATATTAAATAAAATAAACTTATCTGTTAAGTAAAAATATAATTCAAATTAATATAAACCTTTTAATTTAATAAAAATTTAAAAAAAATAAGCTTACAGTCTATAATCATATTTAAAGAATATAACTCAGATCGATTAAAATACCAATATCTTTAATAAAAATTTACTCGGTAAATATTAAAAAAAATAAGCGTACTTACTAAAATATAAAATATAATCCAGTTAATTAAAACACTTTTGATATGAATTTACATAACAATATTCTTCATAGTTTATTTATTGTTAAAAAACTTAACTTTAAAACAATGAGATAAATTTGCTTGATAAATATTAATTAGAATATGCTTACCATCTGTAATACAGTAGTAGTTTAAAACATTTATAAATAGATATTATATCAAGTTTATATAATAAACCCATATACTAGTCAAATATTATGTTAATAAATTACTAAAAAACAAACATTCTTAAGTAATGTTTATTTAAGCTACATCAAAACCTCCACATATATGTGTATTTTTGAAATGTTCATATAATTTTATGGCGCATTTAAAAAAGAAAACCGGTATACGGAAAATCCGATGATCATTACTCATCATTTTATTCGAATTTGATGCCCCTCTATGATAGAATTTGTATGCAATTGCATTTATCGAGAGTTGGCCAGTATTGTGTACAGTGACACAACGTAAAATTAAAAGTTTCTTATTTCAGTGACTCTATAATGTAAAATAAAATTGTAACACCAAAATAGGTGAATCACCTGATGCATTGGTACAAAAAACCACAAGATTAAACGGTGAGGTTATCGTTAACTCCGAAAAATGCTAGATGCAACAATAAAAAAAGGGGGAGTTGACTTGTACAATCTAGTTGATCACCCAATTTTCTGTCGTTTACGCATCACCAATCTCTAACTTATTTTTTGTTTCTTTTCACGTTTTCATTGCTTCTTTCTTTGTGTATAAAAAACAAGATATTTTAAAAATTCAAAGAACAAAATAATAAATTATGTTCTTTTTAAATAAATAACGAATCGCTTTATTCATTCATTCATTGTTTATTATTTACAGTATATAAAAGAAGATATGTTAAATTACAATTCAATAAAAAATTTATCCGGAATTTGTTTAATGTTTGTATTTTAAATATTCAGATTTTATTTTTTAAGAAAAATCAAATAATACCGGTGTAGATGATTTGCGTTATATAGATAGTACTTTATAATTAAACACCTTTGCAATTCTTCACAAACCTAAAAATCCGAATTACGATGGTTAGCATAAAACCATCAAATAATACATATTTAACTTGAATAAATTTTAGATTATTGTTTGCAAGTTTGTTTGTTATTGTTTTTGATTGATTATTTCCATTTTTTTTACGCATAATACAAAATTTCCATAAAATATTCTATTGATAAAGTGTTATATAGGATATTATTTAATTAAAAAAAATCAATTTATTAAATATTTATTAAATGGGATATCAATTAACCCTTATTAAAGGAAACATTATACGTAATGTTTGCTTGATTTTATAAAAATTCGGGTTAATTTGTTATGGGTTCTGAGTTTTAAAGATTTGAATTGAATTGTACAGCTTATGGTATTCTGAACTTTTAAAATACAAAATAAATTAATAACTAGATTTTAGAATACGTACAAGATTTGGCTATTGGAAATAATATAATATTTAAAATGGCATTGAATAAATAATTACAAAAAAAAAAAAAACTTTTATTAAAAAAAGATTCGTTTATTACTTACAACAAATGCATTTGATATTCGAAAAATCCAGGCTATTATTTATTTACAAATTATATTTTTTTATACCATCCTTGGATCGAACCTCTAGTTTGTACGAATGAAATTTAAAAATGTAAATGCAGGTTTTAATATAAAACAAATGACTATCGGAATATTCTTTATTCATCGATAACAATACTGCCTATAAAATCTTGTGACTTAGCATTATCAAAGATTTCAATCATAGATATCAATACTATTAACAGTCGAGAAATTGCTCTTTAATTAATCAAGAAAATTTATTTGTTGCCGTACTGTATTACTTCTTATACAGTACTGTATAACTATCATAATTAAGAAGGTTGTTTATGTAACATAAATACTTTATTATGTTTATTTGTTTGTTTTTTTTGAACATCCAAATATTTGTCTATAAGTCTTACCATTTTTGGATGTGTCAAGTATCTAGAGAGTGAATACTGTATTTAATAGAATTTTTGATCGTCATAAATTTTATAAGAAAAATAGAAAATAGAAATATATTATTATATACTGTGTGTACGATAATGAGCAATCAAATGCACACACCATCCTTTATTGAAACTGATTATCAAATATTTCACTACCTTCCTATAATAAGCATTCCTAACATCAATGTAGGGGGAATTTATAAGAGTAGTGGGAATTTTTAATTTATTAGTTTCCTGGAATAAAAATAAAATTTTTTGCATAGAGCGAAAATATCCCGTACCGGGGTAAAATTTATGTAGATAAAACTTTCAATCATAATAAAGCTTTATGCGTATTTCTTGGTCCGACATCCTTCAAAATCTAACAAAATATCATGACACTTTTAGTTATAAACACGACATAATAAACTATACTCGATAGTTTCTCATTCTATGTCCAACCGTTTCTCATTTATTCACAGTCAAGCTGCTTATATACTGTACATGTTTTCAATTATAGTGAGATACACGAAATCAACAAATTAAATGGTATAATCGAAATTAATTAAATAAACCATACAGACAATATAAGCAAATAACGATATTAACATGATTAAAAAATAAACTGAACAATTCAAATTAACAAAATAAATGTTATAACCAACATCATTCTCTCAATTTCGATAAATACAGTATGTTAATTTCCCAGATTCTCTGTCTCGGGATCTTCACATCACGTTTTCTCCCTACACTAAACAGAATACATGGGCTTTTCTTCATCGTATTCTTCATTGTCTTCATCATAGCCTTCTTCTTTGGCTTTTATCTCAAGTTTGTCCTTGACGGTTTGAATCATACAATCTGAAAGTGTATCGTGGATCTCCAGTATTATCTCTGCTTGTTCTATATACTTTGGCGTTGCTTTCCCACTGATATTCCCATCCGATGTTGAGCTCATCTTTAGATCGTAATGAGTCATGACCGATCGCCACACAAGTTTCCAATTGGCAATTGGGTAATCTTTTGTGTTGTAACGTTTAAGCAATGTATTTAACGTCTTAGTGAATAATTTCGCGCGTCGATCTCTCACGTCCTTGACTATTGCTTTGACGGCAAAATATCCAATACTTGCAAGGAGCTCGAGTACAATGCTAACAATAGGTCCAGTAGAAGAAAATCCAGTGGACAAAGTGCCAAAGACAATTGCGAACATAATAACAGTTGTTATTCCATAGGACCAGTTAGTAAATGAGTTTATTCTTCTACTTATTAACGGGACATTAATTATATGCTGGTTAATTTCCTCAAGTCTGCCTCTAAACTTCTTACGAGTTAGAAACCCTTGGAGATCAAGACACCAATCGATGTCAAATTCACTTTTGGGATTAAAGTAATTGAGCTTCTTAAAAGAAAATTTTTCTTCGACGACGGGAATGATGAGGAGTTTCATTGCGTGATGTAGACAAAAGTATATTATACCTCAAAGAAAGATGGAAAAGAAAGGTTTATATAACTATTTTTATATACTGTAATGCATTCGTGCAATATAGAACAATAGTTATGTTTTGTGTAGATACAACAAGTATCATATGGTCATCAATCCAATTGCACAACATATTATCATCAAATTGTTTTTATCAAGGGAGAGGAAGATGTGTTAGATACAAAATCTTTTTCTCGTCGTGATCACAGTATGGTAGAAACTATCCATTTTGTACGATGAAATTTGTACCAATCAATTTCGATCACTCACAAACGCGGAATGTAAAAAGGTTGGGAATATGGAGTATCCACAAACATAAACAATGTCAAAATTTGTAATTGTTTATTTACCCGGTACGAGCACGAAGGTATGGCACCAAAAACAGAAATACCGCTTTCTTTTTTCAATTAAAAAAATTGCAGATTACATAACACAGATTTTCCTTATTTGATTATGCCGTTACTGGGGTGTTACACGTAACGTATCACGAGTATGGTAGGCTTAACGGGGATTCTGGCACTAACTCCGGTAAAACTTTCGCGTAACTTAAAAAAGTCTCAACGCACAAATAGAAGCAATTTAGGCGTGATAATTGGCAGAACTCTTTATCGCATTATAATGATAACATAAACTGCTAAGCCTCTCATTCTGTGTACTCTTTTTGCATCATTATTCTTTGTTTGCCTCTTACTTCTTGTCGCAAAGTTAATCAAAAACTTGGTTGTTTTATTGTGTACGTGTAATTTTTGTGAAATAAATTGTCAATCAAGCGACACAAAATCGTATTTTCATTTTAGGAGACAATAATCAACAATGCGTTCTAATAAATAACAAAGTAGATATGATTAGACTTCTTTTCACAGTTCACTGCCTCGTGCGTCTTTAGAATCTTGAAAATTACTCACTCAATTTTGTGCATCCAAGATGCAAATATTTGATCATGCGATGAGTAATTATAAACCAGGCTTTTATTTAATTAATATAAAGTAACGAGCAAGTAGGACGTGAAGTCGGTCGCGTAACCGATTGTCGTATAACATAAAGGAGAGATTGTAAAGAGATTATTATGTCAGCGTTATAAACTTCGCATTGTTCTTTTGTATTCTTTAAAGCCAAGTTCAAACGCCTCGCAACTAAATTTATTTAGCAAACCATTGTAACGATTACGCAACAGACCAATACTGTACAGTATATCTTTGAGTCACCTCATTGATCACTTAATTTATCTTTCTTGAAATTTGACGGAATTACAAGAGTTGCGATTTAAAATATATCAACACTAATGTCTTTTAGATCATAAATCATTATGCTTTATAGATTTTGGACTTTGCAATTGGAATCTATTTTTCCAATATAAAAGGATTATCATATTATTGTGGGTCAAACGAGTATGCTTTACAACACGTTAAAGCATTCAAGGTGATTATATTAAAATTTTTTTTGTCATTTCGTTAATAATTTATATTACTAGACCAATAGCCATTTTCTTGGATTCAGCAATTGAAATTATGTGTGTCATTAGCTTTTTTTAAAGTATCTTTTGAAAATGTTTAAAAAGCAACAGATTATTTAATGAAAATTAAACTGACATTTGTTTTTTATAAAATAAGTTGACATTTATTATCATTAACAAATCTAATTATTTGTTTTATTAACAAAAAATCAAATTTTTGTATCTTTAAATAATTTGTTTTTTCCGTAACTTATTATCAGATTAAAATTACATGTCATGTTTATAGAAATCTATAGAACCAACACAAATACAAAACATAAAAAATATACAGTATGTTGGTTGTCTATTTAATAAAATTAAATTCCAAATTTTTCAATAGGATCAAAATCTGCAAGTCATCTTTATCTAAATTGCGTTATCTCTATTTTTTTTATAAAATTATAAAACAAAAAAAAATTATCATATTTTATCTATTTATTAAAAAAAAAATTATTTTAATCAAAATCTAAGCTTTTTCAATATCAATGCATGTATTTTTCCTATTATAATCAAACAAATTGTTGTTTTTTTTAATCACAAATGAGCATTAAATATGAGGTTTTGTTATATATAAGTTTGTTTATTTACTATTAATTTTTTGAAAATTTTTTCTTAGAAGTACTTTTCTCTCTTTTATTTTTAAAGCAAATAAGCTTTAAAACTAAGATATAAAGATTTTAAGAATAAATTTGCATTGAAATAAGACCTTTAATCAAGATCTAAACACAAGTTAAAAGTCTTTTTTGTTTTTGATTATATAAGAAAAGATCTATAGCAATTTCTTTTCACAACTTTGTCTTTAAGTATCTCTTTTTTATATGACTATTATATTTATATTTATTTTTCCTTTTATATTTCAAATATATTCTTAACTATTTATTCAAACAAAATTATTGAATTTAATATTTGTTTTAATACAATCTTTACAAAAAAAATATTTTATCAAAACTATTATCATACTTTGTTTTTTTTTTATGCTTCTTTTTTTTTTTAATTAATTCAAAAATTATATTCAACTCAATTATATTAAAAGATATATATACAATTAACAACCAATCAAATTTCTTTACTTCCTTACTACCAAATCAAATATGCCCAAATCTGTTTAAAGTCAGTTTTATACAAAATTAAATTAGTTCAAATTCATTTACAACTAATTCTCATAATAAAAATTTTTATATTATAACAATAACAATAATAATAATAATAACTTATTGAATTAAAAAAGTATAAGTTAATGTTTTGTATAGATTACAATAATCTCAAACTGATATCTATTAAGTAGACTTTTATTATTTAACTTATTTATACTCAAATTACAATACTTTTTTACTAATTACTAAACCTTTTATAATTATTATTAATAACAAAGTTGTGATCCATAAGCATCAATATTACTGTTAAAGAAAAAAAATAGTTTAAGCCTAATAAATATAAGTAAAAGTAAACTATTTTATCACAAATAAAAGTGAAATATCAAAAAGTTATGTTCTATAACTTGACAACCTAAGCTAGTATTCTTTTACTATTGCAAAAGTTATATTCAATTCTTAAAAATAAAATAGTAACAGATAGATAAATTTGGTTTATATCCTATAAAAGAAATTGTTAATACAAAAATAATTGTTTTTATACTCCAATATACTTTTTATCACTTTAATACTTCTTTATTTAAATTTATTTAATTATATATAACCTTTAGAAAGTAATTAATCCCAACATCAAATTAATATATATAGTAATTTCATATTTAATTTTTAAAACTTTCTCCTGATCGCATCCGTTTTGTTAAAAATTTTCCTTTTATGGTAATTTTAAGCAAGAAAAAATGTTTTACACTCTTTATCG